CCCGCAGTGCTTTTATCAATTTACACTCCCACTTTCAATGTAGGAGAATTCCTTTTACTCAGTATCTTTGCCAGTACTTTATATTGTTAGAGTTTAAAGTGTTTTCAATGTAGTAGCTGATTAGCAGTGTTATGCTGGTGCTGGACATAAAATCAGTTAACAACAACCACCACCAAACCAACATCTCTGTCCCTTTTTTTTTTTTTTTTTGTATTGTTTTCTGTGGGAGAGTTCATTTCAAAGCCAAGCCACAATTTTTTTCATCTGTTTCATAGCAGCATTTATTTAGTGTTTAGTCTGTTTAATAAATTTTGCTACTTTTTCCCTCAATTTTTTTCTAATTATTTGTATTGATGCTATGCCAGTTTCTTTCTTTCTCTTTTAATCACTAGTCATTAAATGAGTTGAGTTTTCTTGGAATAGTTATTGGTAAGAAGATACTGTGGTGGAGGAGGGTCTGGGAGGAGTTCCAGATTTGCTGCCTTTATACAGTGCAAAGATTTCTTTTTTCCTACTACCAAATAGTCTTCTTGCAAATAAGCTAGTCATGTGATTCTTTTTGTATGAAATCTAGCAATTCTACTTGCCTCCGAATTCTAATGAAAGTGGCAATGTAGGGTTGTTACTGTTAGTGTTTTTTATTTGTTCATTTATTTTTCTCCTTTGCTTTTAAGTTATTTCCAGGAGGAGAAGAAAATGCTCACTGACTTAGCCATGCTGATACTAGAAATCTTGACTGACTTTTTTAACCTAATTTTTTTTCCATTTGCAGTTATAAAAAGTTGATGTCTCTGAAAATAGATGATAGCGATATAAGACCGAAGATCAGTTTAAAATTTGGTACAAAAGGTATATTTTACTTTCATATGTCTCCTGTTGAAAACTGTTAAAAATTTTGACTTGCTCTGTAAAGTATCATGCCATTAACAACTGTGTGTTTCTTTGAGTTTGTCATTCACTGGGCTTGGGTTTACACTAACAAACATCACTTGGTGTAGGCTGGAATTCATGGACAGAAAGATTAGCAGGTGTATGGGTATCACATTACCTTGCATCTATAGAGAGGTTTGCTGGGTTTGGTGCATAGCTGTGACTACACAGATTGAGCTTCAGCTGATGTTCCCTACCAACTCCTCACTTGTTGCATTCCCTGTTAAAAGGGTGAAATGGAAAGAATGAACATTTGGGGCTCAAGGCCAAGTAGTCTAAACTTAGGTGCCAGTTCTTTAGGAGTGTGCTAGGAAATGCCAGCTGCTCAGCACTTGGAGAGCTTAAGGGCTCCTGGACCCATGGAAGAGTAGTCTGGTGGCATTCCTTCTTGCTAGGGAGAATGGATGTCCCTGATCCTAGCCAGCTTCTTATTTGGCAGCCCAGAGAAAGCTCCTTGAGTCATTTGCTTTGTAACCTTGTTTGCCTCCACAGTTTATGTCAAGTATATCAAACAAGAATATTACTTTAAAAATCTTTTGAAACACAGAATCATGAAGGATAAAATAATAAAGTTGTGCTTTATAATAAACACATATTTTATTAGTTTAAAAAATATACCATCATATACCAAATTCTTATTACTTTCTAATTCACCTCAGTCTACTTTCCTCTTTGGGAAGTGCTACTAAACCAGAAAAATATCAAATAGTTCAGTCTCATGCCTTATTCTATTTCATTGATGAAATACCTACTTAATCATTAATTTATTTTTTGAAAGGATAAGAAAAAGAGGTTCATAAGATCAGTGTGTCTCAAACTTTAATATATATTTGAATCATCTGTGATTTTGTTAAAATGTCGGTGCCAATTCAGTACCTCTGGGGTGAGACCTGAGATTCTGTATTTCTAGCAGGCTCCCATGTGTCTGCTGCTGCTGCTGGCCAGTGGACTGTACTTTGAGAAGCAAGGCATTAAATCACTTTATGTTTCTTGCTATAGTTCTGCATTGTCTAATACAGTAGTCACTAGCCATATGTGGCTGTTTAAATTTAAACTCATTAAAATTAGATAAAGTTTCAAACTCAGTTCCTTTGTCAGACAAGCAGCATTTCCACTGTTCAGTGGCTAGTGGACAGTGAAAATCTAAAATATTTTCATCACAAAAAGTTTTACTGGACAATGCTGATTAAGACAAAATATAATTGCCTAAGTAAAGTATAACTAAACACTGGCAGTTACCATTCTTGACAGTCCTCAGAATTTTCAAAGGCTTAATACTTTTATGCCACTTGATGGCCAAAGCTCATTTATTTGAACAAAACCCTGGATGGTTGAAAGCCTTCTATAGTGATTAGTTTTTGTGATTACTTTTGCTTGGAACATACTGTTTTTGTTTTGACTTTTTGACAGCTAGACAGATAGCAGCATGCCTATTGAGCATTGGCTGTGACAAAGTACTGTACTGTACTTCATTCTTTTGGAATAGTGCCTGTCCTACAGGAGCTTAGGATGTAATGCAAGAAATCACATAGAAAAAGAGCATTAATGTGGAATCTTTTGACTTCTCAAAATTCATTTTCAGATGAAATGCCTATCTTCAAACTTGATTATAATTATTTCTATCATCTGCTTCATATAATTATTGTTTCTGGTACTGACATTGTTCGGCAAATATTTGATGAGGCTATGCCACCCCCTCTTTTGAAAAAAGAGCTTCTTATACACAAGAATGTATTGGAACCCTACTACAACCATCTTTGGACCAATCACCCTTTGGGTGGAGCATGGCATCTGCTTTATCCCCCAAACAAGGAGCTGCCACAGTCCAAACAGTTTGACTTATACCTCCTATTAGCTCTCATAAAACATTTGAATGTGTTCCCTGCACCCAAAAAAGGCTGGAATATGGAACCACCATCTTCTGATCTCTCTAAGTCTGCAGACATCCTGAGGCTGTGCAAATACAGGGATATCCTCCTTAGTGAGATTTTGATGAATGGTCTCACTGAGTCACAATTCAATTCAATTTGGAAAAAAGTTTCAGATATTCTTCTGCGCCTCGGGATGAAGCAAGAAGATATTGACAAAGTGAAGGAGAATCCCATTGAGAATATCTCCCTTGATTACCATCAGCTGTCCATCTACCTAGGCATACCAGTACCAGAAATCATTCAGAGGATGTTATCCTGCTATCAACAAGGTACAAAATAATTATTTACTTAAGCCAGTAAACCTTCACTGAGTGTCTGCTATGTGCCAGGTACAGTGCTAAGGGTAGGAGATTCAGTGAGCTCACATTCTTGAGAGAATATCCTCATCAAGAAGCCAATAGAAATTACAGTGCTAGAGATGTTTCCAGAATACCATGGGAAATTCTAGCCTAAGAGAATCCAAAAAGGCTTTCTGGAGATAGAATATCTAAGGAGTTGTTAAATGACATGTAAAAGTTAGCCAAGTGAAGAAGATGGAGAAGGATGTTTCAGAAGGAAACAAGAGCAAAGGTACAGAAACATAAAAATGTATTATAGTACAAGGAACTAAAAAGTTTGGCAATACTGAGATTAAAGTAGGGGAGAGTTCATTAGAATACATTCAAGAGGATTTCTCTTGCCATGTTGAGGAATTTGTGTTTTCAAAAAGGAATTGTTGAATATTTTTAAATAGAGGAGTTTTATCACTTCTACAAAATTAAGGATGCCTAAAACCATGAAATACAGGTACTGAGTATTACAAGAATGCCCTTTTAGACACCATGAGTGTATGTTTCTCCTTTCTATCAGAACCTTGACTTTTGTTTAAAAGTTTGGTCATAGGTAATTTTAAAAATCAGATAACATTTATGCAAGGTCTAAGGTTGTCTAAGGTTGGTGGTGGCCATTCCCAAACATTATTTGTTGTTATGGGGAAGACTTCAGACCTCCTCCCCACATTCCAGGATAGCTTCTCAGCTGTCATGGTGGAAAGTGGAGTTGAAGCCATGTCAGCATCACTGAAACCCTTGCTGTGTTATTCTAGGTGAATTTTCCTGGTCCCAAATTATTAGTCATACTACCTGGTGAGCAACTGATGATCACAGTGATGCTATTTAAATGTATAACTTTCCAAGCTTCTAGTAATTGTTGACCTGGTCCAGATTTTCTTCAGCTATAATTGCTAGGCCCCATTCCCACTCCTTTTGCTAAGGCTCTGGGATTCCGTTGTGTTTTCCTACTTAACCTTTAAGAAAGCTTTCTTTGAACATAAAAGAAGAGAATGCTGAGTTTGATGCTCTAAGAAAGTCAGGCAAGCACCCTTGACTTGTAAATTGGCTTATAAATTAGAGGCTTTTCTTTTTTACATTTACTCTATTAAGATTTTGAATGACAAAAACTTATGAGAATAAAAATATTTGGGAAAGTGAGTTGAGCAATAAATTCAAGGTATTTCAAACAGTTTTCACTCTGAAAGTCTGACGAGCTTATTGCTCAAGTCCCTTTAATAGAGGCTTTCCTAGTATCTTATATGTCTTCCCTAGTAGTTATTACAGTTTGGTTTTCATTTGTGTATTTGATTATTTGATTAATATCCATTGTCCCCACTAAATCTCTATGACGGTTATCTTTTTTCTCACCATTCAAACTCTAGAGCCTAACACAGCCTGATATATCATAGGTGCTTAATAAATATTAATGGGCAAGGAGAGAGAATGCTCATCAGGATTTTGCTAAAAAAAAGGATCAAACTTTCAATGGAGGTTTGCTTCATAATTGACTATTACTTCATGACCTTAGACTGTAAACTGTAAAAATTTGCTTCTTGATTTAAAGTGCTTGTGTTCTAGGCATTATCTATTATGAACTATCTTTTTTCTAAACCTTTCTTTCTCTAAACATGGGTTTATAACCTTTATGTTATAATCTAATTAAGCCTTGTTTAAACTGGATTCATGAGTGAAGTTGGTTATTTTTAGTTATAATATTTATTGGTGCAGTGTAAAAAATCTTCTGGTTTTTCTTAGTCTCAGTCTGATATTTGTTAGTTACATTACATTTGCAATTGTATATCTAAATTTTTTCTTTATGTATCATAGGAATTGCTCTACAGTCAATAACGGGCAGTCAACGTAAGTATGTTTAAAAACCAAATGCCTAAGTGACCTTTCAACCCAGGATAGCTAAGGGGCACCTATAGATTTTTACTCGGTCAGATAAACTGTATGATAAACTGTAATTGTTTGTTATAAGATGGGAAAATTTTATGGTCAGATTACTACTGGTCAGCTGAATCTAGTATGAGCCTTTATTCAGCCTTTGTCTTAGTGCACATGCCCTAGGGTTTACCCTAACAGAGTATTTTAACTTTTGACACACAGGGCACTTCAACAGGCAAAAATGCCTACCTGCTTGCTCTACCTGCTCATATATGCTACTGTTTAGCTTATGTAACTTTTATCTGGTTAACTATCCATTGTTAAGCTATATACTTTTCTGCCAGGTGGTGAGTTGCTAATATTTTTATTTCCATTTATGTACTGTTGGGTTTTTTAAAATGGAATTCAAATTTTGCAATTAAAATTATACTTAAGAAAGTAACACCATGGGTTTTGTTTGGAGTAAAATTATACTTAAGAAAGTAGCACAGTGGGTTTTGTTTGGACCATCTGTGACCAGTCACATGAAGTCCACAAGTTTAGGTATTGAATCTCTGGAGCAGTGTCAAGGATCATGGTATCAAAGAAGTCACATAATTGGGGACTGATACCCTTTAATAACCTTTGATTATAAAAAAGAAAAAAAAAGGGAAAAAATACATATAGCTTTTCCTTCTCTTTATGTTTCAGACTTATGCCCTAAAATAATACTAGTTGCAATATTTAATAAGTTCAATGTCAGGATACTCAAAAACTTAGTATTTAGAATTGACTTAAGTTCTACATTATCTATATCTATAGTCTGCTTAAGATAACAGTCAAGTATCTTAGCATTTGAGTTTATATTGATTGGTTTCAGGCTAGTATATGTACCTGTTATTTGGTCATTGATAAATGGGCATTTTATTTTCATTTAGTATTTGAACAGAGTAAGATGTCTTCTATTTCTGGGGTGGTGTTATGGGGGGAGTAAATATATTTAAAATAGTGATAAGAGGCTAAAATTATATGCATCCAGACTTTGAGTGTTTTGGTTTTAATATTTAGGTATTGAAATAGAAGAGTTACAAAATGAAGAAGAAGAACTAAGTCCACCTCTGATGGAGTACAATATAAATGTGAAATCAATCCCTGAAATACAGTTAGCAGAAATGAATAAAGATGGGGCATCGATACCCAGTGAATCTTCAACAGAATCTATTAAAGATCTCCAGGAAGTATAACTGCTCATTAATATTTGAATTAGAAGAACTTAAGGCTTTTAGCTTGTTGCATGTGCTATTCTTAAAGCCTCCCAGACAATCTTAGTTTATATTTATCAAAGTGTTTACACAGAGCTTGAATTGGAATGGTTCTTTCCCCAATACTTTCTTCCATAATCTTTCCTGCCTTAGCCATATATTTTGGCAGCATTTATTGAACATTTATTATGTGCCTGGCACATGTTTCTTCATCCTGAGTGGTAGAATGGATGTGGGAGGTTAACAGAAAGTAGAAGAAAGCATAGTGGGAAATAGAAGGAGAGAGAAAGGAAGAGAAAACAGGGATATTTCAATGCTATTTACACAGAGGTAGAATTAAAACCATCCAGGATGTATTTCTTTACAGATAAGTGGTAACAGATATTATGTAGTCACTAAATTCTTCCTAGGCTTAATTTTTCATCTAATGGACCTGAATATGTTGATTTTTTTAAGGTGCCTTCCTCCTCTGTTAGTCATGCACGCACGTGTGCAAGTGAGGACCTCTGAGCTCTTTTCAGTAGCCTACTTATTGACATTATATGTTGTTCCTTTATACATCAGTGATTTCTCAAGCAGAAAACTGAGATTAAAATTAAGATGAAAATAATTTTCCATAGAATCTAGAAGGAAAGTATGATCTATATTAGAAGATAAAAGATCCCAGTGGTTAGAGGAAATACATTTTGTAAAGTAATCCATTGTGCAGTTTGAATTGCATATTAAATAAATGATTTATTTCTTATCTATCAGGTTAAGAGTAAACCAAAGAAAAAGAAAAAGACCAAGAATAAAACGGTAAGAGGCTATATTAGTGTTATAATAGAGGAATGTCTGATTATGAACACTTAGGTTTAATACATTGTTTTACTATTAGTTAGAACTTAAAATTAGTCCAAGTAGACATGTAGCACAAATGACTTATAAATGTTCATAGCTTATTGAATATATGATTATAGAGAAGTCTATGTATGTTAGATTCTGAAAATGATTTAAACTTACAGTATGCCCTACTTTACTTCCCTAAATCATAATATATACATTTAAATATATAAGTAGAGAAACTGAATTAGTCACTTGGAAATTTCACTAATTTCTGTGTACGACTCTCATTTTAAAAAATGCCTACTTTTTTTTTTTTTTACATCTTTATTGGAGTATAATTGCTTTACAATGGTGTGTTAGTTTCTGCTTTATAACAAAGTGAATCAGCCATACATATACATATATCCCCATATCTCCTCCCTCTTGCGTCTCCCTCCCACCCTCCCTATCCTACCCCTCTAGGTGGTCACAAAGCACCGAGCTGATCTCCCTGTGCTATGCGGCTGCTTCCCACTAGCTATCTATTTTACTTTTGGTAGTGTATATATGTCCGTGCCACTCTCTCACTTTGTCACAGCTTACCCTTCCCCCTCCCCATATCCTCAAGTCCATTCTCTAGTAGGTCTGTCTTACCCCTAGGTTCTTCATGACATTTTTTTTTCTTAAATTCCATATATATGTGTTAGCATACGGTATTTGTCTTTGTTTTTCTGACTTACTTCACTCTGTATGACAGACTGTAGGTCCATCCACCTCATTACAAATAGCTCAATTTCGTTTCTTTTTATGGCTGAGTAATATTCCATTGTATATATGTGCCACATCTTCTTTATCCATTCATCCGATGATGGACACTTAGGTTGCCTACTCTGTTTTAAACACAGCTTCTTTTCATATTTTTACAGATAAGTTCAGAAGCATTTTTCAAAACCTAAGAAATCTTGATTTTCTCCTTTGTGTCTAAGACTCTTCCAACAATGCAGTAATGTACAAAAATGATACAAATCCAAGAAGCTTCTTTATGCCTCTTCCTGTTATTTGAGAGTTGTAAAATGAACAAGTTATGATCTGTAGCGCAGTTTTAGCAAGAAGTCTCTTAATAGCTTGAAAAATTACAAGAGAAAGTCAAGAGTATTTTTTTATTGGCTTAATTCTTTAAAGTTAAGACTTTATTATTTTAGAGCAGTTTTTTTGGTTTAGAGCAAAATTATGGGGAAGATACAGAGATTTCCCATATACCTCCTGCCCCCACACATGCACAGCCTCTTCAACCAACATTCCCCAGCAGAGTGGTACATTTGTTACAATTGAGGGACCTAAATTGATATATCATAATTTTCCAAAGTCCATACTTTACATTTTGGTTCACTCTTGTTGTTGTACATTCCTATGGATTTGGACTCAAGATAATTTTTTTATTAAGCATATAGCTAACCGCTATGCTATGTAAACTTTACTGTGAAAAATGTTATTTTCTGGCTTGAAACATATATTTAAAGTCTAGATTATATTATAAACTGAGAATATTTGCCCAACTACAATCTGGTAAGTTCATGTTATTAGTCATTTGGAAGTATACACAAACTTTAGTCATAAATGAAATTTTACACAAATGAAAGTAAATTTACAAAATACTTAATGAGGTACAGAACAAAATAAAGATTATTTTATTCTCTGATCAGTAAAATATCAATAAATTTTCATATTTATCAAAAGTTATTTTGAAAATTAATTTTTTAAAATAAATTTTGTTTTTAAAAGACATGAGTACGAATATTTTTTCTTACTTTTAGACCATTCATATATAATAAAACACAACCTGATTCATTAGTTTAGCTGCTATTTTTTATTTTTGCCAAAGCATTGGTAAGTCCCAGGTCTAATACTGCATAAGGCTGACCAAGTAAATCTACAGCTATTAGACCACAGATCTAAGCTCCAAGTGTTACAGTGTGTCTCTTCCTTACTTCCAAAAGATTAAAATATGTTAATACTTGGATTCTCAATTTTAGCTAAATGGAAAGCCCCACTTCTATGTCAAATTGAAATTAAACAGGAAATAAACATAAGCAGAAATAATGTAAATGCTACTTAAAATTTATACACTAGTAATATTAAAAATTTCTTATTAAAGTCAGCAACTATCTAGGAATTTTTTTGTTTTCTTTAAACATCCTAAGTTTACTTCCAATTTATTTTATTAAAAAAATTGAGATACTTTGAAAACAAACATTTTATCAAGATAAAATTTCAGCATCAGAAGAGAGATCTTGTATCTTACATCTTTTATCGACATTTGAAGTATAAACCTAAAAAATGCTTAAAATTTTTCATATGACTATTTCATATACAATAGTCCTCCTAGTCATATACTCAATTACTGTTATAGAAGCAAATAATTGTCTAGTATAATGTAAGCAACCAATTATAAAAAGCTGAGTCAATCAAATTCTCTTATCAAGAGTTCTTCTCACGAAAACTTCTAGCATATAGAAGTTTGTGTTATACAGAGTGACTATAAAGTCCTTATGTGTGAAATTATGTCCTCTCTTAATTATTTGATTTTCAGCATGTCTACCTAATAATAGTTGAGGTCCTAAAAACACCTATCAGGGATTCTCTGGATGAAGATGACGAAAAAGTAAAATTTGTGTAGCAAATAGAGGGGACAATAAGATAACTTCTGCCTCTTCTAACTAGTATGTATAGAGGTGTAAATAACTCTTTTGAGAGTTCATTAGTTCTTTCTTCCCAATTCCATTCCCTACTCAGAGGGACTGAGGGTTAGGAATAGAAAAGGAAGGTAAAGCAGATAGCAGAAGTATAGAATGCTTTGTGATTGAAGCCTTGGGGAAAAAAGAAATATGGCAGGAAATAAATCAGGCTTTTCAAAGTGGATGTCACCTGTAAAGGGAAGTTGCTGAGATGCGTGTAAGACAGGCGTGAAGTTGTCCTGGAAAGAGCTTAAAAGGAGTTTTAGAAATACAGGTATCTCACGCTTTTCGAAATTCACTTTACGCCACTTTGTTTTTTATGAAAGACCTGCATTAGTATCTGTTTGTGCTAACCAAAAGAAATCTGAAGAGGATTTTTGCTTATACAAAAAAAAGGTACAGACTAACCTCATTTTATTGCACTTTGCTTTATTGCACTTTGCAGATACTGTATTTTTTACAAATTGAAGGTTTGTGGCAACCCTGCATCAAGCAAGTCTATTGGCACCATTTTCCCAACAGCATTGACTCACTTTGTGTTTCTGTGTTGCATTTTGGTAATTCTCACATTTCAAACTTTTTCATTATTATTATTTTATTATGGTGATCTGTGATCAGTGATCTTTTTTTTTAGGTATAGTTGATTTACAATATTATATTAGTTTTGAGTATACAACATAGTGATTCAAAATTTTTATTGATTATACTCCATTCAAAGTTATTATAAAATATTGGCTATATTCCCTGTGCTGTACAATATATCCTCTTAGTTTATTTATTTTATACATAGTAGTTTGTACATCTTAATCCTTTACCCCTATAATGTCCCTCCCCACTTCCCTCTCCCCATTGGTAACCACTAGTTTGTCTTCTATATCTTTGAGTCTGTTTCTGTTTTGTTATATTTATTCATTTGTTTTATTTTTTAGATTCCAAATATAAGTGATACCATATAGCATTTGTCTTTCTCTGTCTGACTTATTTCACTAATCATAATACTCTCTAGGTCCATCCATGTTGTTGCAAATGGTAAAATTTCATTCTTTTTTATGGCTGAGTAGTATTCCATTGTGTATATATACCATATTTTCTTTACCCATTAATCTGTTGATGGACACTTAGGTTGCTTCCATATCTTGGCTAGCATAAATAATGCTTATGAACATTGTGGTGCATGTATCTTTTCAAATTAGTGTTTTTATTTTCTTTGGCTGTACACTCAGGAGTGGAATTGCTGGATCATGTGGTAGTTGTATTTTTGGTTTCTTGAGGAACCTCCGTACTGTTTTCCATAGTGGCTGCACCAATTTCCATTCCTACCAAAGATGTACAGTGTTCCTTTTCTCCACATCCTTGCTGACATTTGTTATTTGTGGTCTTTTTGATTATAGGCATTTTGACACATGTGAGGTGATATCTCATTGTGGTTTTTATTTTGTTTTTTTTTTGCGGTACGCGGACCTCTCACTGTTGTGGCCTCTCCCGTTGCGGAGCACAGGCTCCGGACACGCAGTCTCAGTGGCCATGGCTCACGGGCCCAGCCGCTCCACGGCATGTGGGATCTTCCCAGACCGGGGCACAAACCCGTGTCCCCTGCATCGGCAGGTGGACTCTCAACCACTGCGCCACCAGGGAAGCCCCTCATTGTGGTTTTGATTTGCATTTCTCTGATGATTTGCAATGTTGAGCATCTTTTCATGTGCCTGTTGGCCATCTGTATGTCTTCTGAAGAAAAATGTATATTCAGGTCTTCTGTTCATTATTTAATCAGGTTGTTTGGGTTTTTTTTTTTTTAATATTGAATTGTATGAACTGTCTGTTTTGGATATTAAACCGGTTTTGGTCATATCATTTGCAAATATTTTCTCCCATTCAGTAGGTTATCTTTTCATTTTGTTGATGGTTTCCTTTGCTGTGCAAAAGCTTTTAAATTTAATTAGGTCCCATTTGTTAATTTTTGCTTTTCTTCCCTTTGCCTTAGGAGACAGATCCAAAAAATATATTGCTACAATTTTTGTCAAAGAGTGCTCTGCCTATGTGTTTTTCTAGGGGTTTTATAGTTTCTGGTCCTAAATTTAAGTCTTTAATCCATTTTGAGTTTATTTTTGTATATGGCATGAGAAAATGTTCTAATTTCAGTCTTTTACATGTAGTTGTTCAGCTGTTCCAGCACTACTTATTGAAGAGAATGTCTTTTCCCCATTGCATATTCTTGCCTCCTTTGTCATAGATTACTTGACCATAAGTGTGTGGGTTTAT